TCGCAGCATCAGCACCAGCAGTAGCAGTAGCAGCAGTGTGTGTGTCCAAGTCTCAAAAGTCCAAGGTCTACGGGAATAGCTTGGGGGCCAGCTGACGGCGGACAAGGTCCAGGCATTATCGCAGGTTGTGTTTGTGGTGTGCGCGTCTTGTAAGAGAGACGACGGCGCGTTCAGATGGTTGTATGTTGTTGGTCTTTGCGAGGACACGTCGCGCATTCTTTTCGCTTTTACTTGGAAAATGTTAGAAGCAACTGCACCTAGAACCAAGACTTACTTCTTGGATTCTAGACCGTGTCTTTTGATTCCTTGGCCAGGTTGGGTTGGGTCTAAGTTGCAAACTCGTCCTGTGTAATATAGTTGTACCACGCCCCAAAAGCCCTGGTCCAGAAAGGGGAGGAGAATGGATTATGACGACCAAACTCGCCCTTTCCGACCATGTGTCTTAGACAATCGTCTGTAATTGTTCATGGAAAGGGGCCCGACGGGGACGGACATGAAGAAGAGAAGACAAGACTGATGGTTCTGATTGATTGAACCACAGACACACTCAGCTGGTTTCTGCACGAAATTGCAGTGCCGGGCGGACGGTTCACTCAGACACCCCTGCTCTGCTCTGCTCTGCTGCTCTCTGTGGCTGCGTTTCTGCTCCCGTTGATGCTTCTTGCTGCTAAAGTGTGGCCTTTCTATTTTCGAGGCGCATCGTTGCTTTTTCCAGGCACCGTCATTCCCTCGGATCTCGCCTTCGCATAGGAAGGAATTCCAATCTCGCCAAAGAGGGCATCAATTTTCTCTCTGGCGAATCTCGATCTTATACGTGATCTGAGCACTCCTCACTCCAAATTTCGAAATTTCAAATTTTTCTCAAAATTGCAACGCAGCACACCAAAAAATAGGAGAGGTGTGATTGTGAGGTCTTCGTTGCCCTTGTTGTTTACCAGGTCCCCGGTCAACCGGCCGGCCGGCGCGCGATGGGCCACGCCCGCCAGCCCACCTCATGTTCTTTCGAGGTTGTCGGCGATTGATGACGACACTGTCACATTTCCCAAGCTTGGGCAGAGGAAAGCGGTCTCGTCTCCGGGTAGTGGAGAGCTGTGGGAGTGTGCGCTGTGGCCTGCGTTGGTCCACGTACCAGAGAGAGGCCACGCCCAACAAGCAGCGGCTTGCAGGCGTGTAGCAAGGCCCCCCGTTCCGCCTCCTGCGCGCGCGTGGAAACACTTTGTCGCTGTCACCGCCCGGTGTCTGGGAAAGAAGAGTGCGGCTTGCTTGCTGCTGGCGGGTTTTGCTTGATACTGTGGACCGAGACCGTGGCCGCGTCTTTTGTGTGTGTTCGCTCTCTTTCCAGCGGGAACTCCACGTCCCAAAGCCAGGGGTTGGAAAGAAGACGGTGACAAGGGCGCCCTGACAGATGGGTCACGGGATGACAGGGGTTGGCCGACAAAGGAAGCGGATACGGACATTGACAATGCCTCCTCCCAACGTCGACGATATCGCACAATTCTAAATCGTGAGAAAAAAGTGTGTGGTTGTGTGGGAGGAGTCAGATCGCGATTGGGGTTCTGCAACCCTACGACAACCTAAAAGGCCTCGTGGGCAGAGCGAGCAACCATTCATGAAATCAAGGGGTATGGTATCGAGGTTCATGAATCGAGTTTGTGTTATCGATGGTGGAGTTCAAGGGGTGGAGGGGGGAACTGAAAATGGAAACGGGCAATCTGGTGAGAGCGCAAGTCGCAACTCGCATCAACCAGAGTTTCACGGCCTTCTTCTGCCTTGGTCTTGGTGCTGCCCATCTCCGACAGATTGGTAAGCTTTCTACGAACACGATATGCCGCAAGGCCGCCACGCACGCTGTTGCCGAGGTGTAGGTTCGATTATGCCTTATGTGTCGATGACGGGGTACATCGTTGGCTTTTGTGCCGATAGAGTCGATTCAAGGTTTGTGGGTGCGTCAAGTGACTTGACACTCCTGCGCCGCGGTTGCGATTAAAATAATAATGATTCGGGACGAACGGTGGCGTGTGGTGGCCGCGTCGGAGTATTCGTCGAGACGTGATGCCCGGCAGGGAAGCACTGAGGCTGCTGCAAGTCTGTCACTGGTGATCCCGTCAAACCCGTCTTGCCGTCCCCCTTTCGCCAAAGACAAAGCCGGCCTTCTGGAAGGGAGCCTTCCCCTGTACCTTGTAGATACCTACCCAGAGGATCCGGCAGAGGGACGGGATGAATGACAAAAAAGACATCCAAGGGGCCTAGAAGCCCACACCTGTTAGGCGAAAATCATGTGTGGATATCGCTGCAATTCCGGAAGGCCACGGGTGATGTTCCCCCCGTACCCAGAAACTGTTTGTCCCAGAAGGCCCTGCTTGACCCTATCGGCAGTCCGGGGAAGAGGTCGACGGGTGGGAACTTCGTTTCAGCGACTCCAGTTGGCGGGGGGCCAGCAGAACAACGCGACGTGAGCACATGGGCACGTCGCGGGCCATTTTCTTCTCAACCTCCATGGGACCCCATGGAACCATGGGTAAGGTACTTTGCGACTACCTGCGGCGGTCAAGTTGTTAAAAAAGCTCCCAAACTAGAGGTATCCATCACGATGGAGAACCCGCGGCGGTCAACCTTGGGGCCAGCGCCGCGGTGACGGAGGACCTGTAGGCTCCGCCATGTGGGTTGTTTTGTTGAATTGTCGCGATGTTAGCAAGTATTCGCGGTTGAGTTGTGTATCTTTGATACCCTAATCACACAGGGATGTTTCCGAAACTCAAAGACAGAGTTGCCAATTGAGTAGGGGAGGAGTGTAAGGGACGGTTGAGTCGTTGTCCCCTTACCCATCGTCCAGCGACAGCGGGAAAGGCGCGCTGTCGCAACCCAAGATGCCTTTGGGGTAACCGCAATCAACGTCGAAACCAAGAAACCATGCGTGGCTGACACAGAGGCAAATAAGGCCCAGCTCAAGTCTGTCCTCGCCGTCGGATTCCAACTCAGCCATCAATCAAAGTTGACACTCCGCCCGGAATAGGAATTACACAGAAGCGAACTGCGATTGACCTCTGTGTAGTCGCGGGAATGAGTGTGCGACACACTGTGTACAAGGTCAGCTCTTTCGACTCTCTACCGTGGATCCAGCAACGTGATGCTGGGTGTGCAGGGTCAAGTTAGACTCACCCCAGCTGCGGTGTGGCTTGGAACTTAGGACGCATGGGGCTGGAACTGACCCTTCACCTTATTAGGTTTGTGCCGTTTGGAGAGACGTATTGTCGAGTACCTCGCCGTACGCCGTACGCTCGCCCTACCCTCTCTCCACAGTAAAGATACACAAAAACCGAGAGATGCACAATATCTCTACGCGCACACGGCCTGTGTTGTCAACAACCTGCCAGAGGAACCTTGCCTCGAACAGATAAGCCACGCCCGTATCTTCGACGCTTATCATTATCAGCCAACAGCCAAGGTCGGCTGAGGCGCTCAGATGGCTGACGATGACCTGAAAGTGTACCATGCTCATCCAAATATGATGTCGCCCGATGCGCCGTAGTCAGCCCAGCCAGAAAGCCAGGCCCTTCTTTCGCCTTCCTTTTCGTACTGGCCGACAGCTGACGACCTTCTTCAGCAATCGCCGCCCCTCCGTCAAATCCGTCCATGTGCCCCCAATCCTCCATCGCATCTCATCTGATCTGATTCCAGCGAGCAGCATTCCACCCCCTCTCAAAGCCTGGTAGCAACGAGAAAAACACCCCCTCTCGTTCCCTTGCCGATGTGCTGATGCTGATGTGCATCACATCGTATCGTATCCGTTGCCGCCGGTACCTTGCCTTTACATGACGGACAGGAAATAATGTAGTGGAATCCGAATGGAGATCGTAGGTTGAACCAGCCACCCCGTGTATCCGTGTTCCTGTCCGTACCTGTCTCGGTTTCCTCAAAATTGCTGGCCGCAGCAAGCTTGAGCCTAGAATTGCAGCACATCCGACTCAGGCCTCCCCGGAATTCGCGCAACCCTTTACGTCGCACGCCGTCGAGAGCAACCATCACGTTGCGCCCAGGCTTCAAGCTGATTGGTTTCTCGCCTAAACGTGGAGGTAGAGGAATCTCGTCCCAGTTTGAGCCCCGAAGCGCCAGCCGCCACAACCTTCGTCGTCGTCTCTGAAGAAACGCAACAGTGAATGTGCCGCTCCCAATACCTCCATGTACCTCCACTTGTACTTGGTGTTGTCTTGACTTTGTGGGCACCTGTTTCTCAACTCCTTCACTTCCATTGTTGAAGTCGCTATGGCATAACCGCTGTCGAATCATCGTGCTTCAACACGAGCCGTGTTCGTCACTCATCCACTTACGAAACCCCACGTTGTGACATGCTGCATCGTTGAGGCTTCGGGCTCCAAGCTCCTCCAGATGGCCCCTCTCCCGATGCTGCCCTTTGCTTCCCATCGGAAGTCTGTGGGTATTCACCCGCCGCCGCTCTCTGCGTTTCTCGGCCTCAGATCCCAGGAAAATCCTCCGCCTTTGGACCGACTTCTTTCCGGGTGCCCCCTCATCGCGGCGGCACCACTGCAGCGACTGCAGTAGCTGCATCCCCAGGAGTAATCACCCCGCTTCTTGTCCAAGATATCGCGGGCGGGGTTCATCACACCCTCACCACTGCGCCTCTCCGACCTCTTCCGTGATTTGCTTGGTCCCGAACGGCCGGTCAACCAAGGCCACCAGCTGTCGTTCTTAGCCGCCGACAGCCTGCATCTTCAGATATGTCGCGCAGCCAGACAAGCTAGTAATAACTGCGCCGGTTCTCGGAACTTGAGGCTCCCATTGTGCCAGTCGTCGCACCCACGTTTGGATTCTGGTGGACACGATTGATAACGAAATCTCGCACCGTGGTCCTTGTGCGTATGGAGCTTTGCAACCGTGACGACATCATTCAGGATCATCCCACTTCGCTTCGGCGCCCTGACATTTCGCATTCATCCAGGGCTCAGCCCTTATCAACATCATGAACACAATGCCATATTGAACTACAGTGCCATGTATTCGCGACACGCCTAGGAAAGTCAGCGCGCGTGAACATGTTAGTGATGGGTCCCTTACAGCTTTAAGCACGTTCAGTCTCTCTTGAGAGTCCCGGAATACTTGCCGGTACTGGCCAAGACTTTCGCGCAGGACGGCTTCTTTGGACATGCGCCCGTCGCATATTGCCTTCATCTTGTTCTCCATCTCTTTACGCAGGAAAGGTTTGCCCAGACTCATTTCGAATTCCATGCGATCGAAACCCATGATAAGAGCCACCCCGAGCTGGGTCGGGATGAAGACCTTGAGACCTGTGCGGCCTCCTGATGCGGCGCGCCCACCACGCCCGCCGCGTCCGCGATTGCCGCGTCCCCGACCTCTTGCCGGCGGCGATGGAGGTCTATCCTGGTCATCACCGTCGTCATCATCCTGGCCACGTCGTCCGCCGTCCGCTAGCTGTACATACTCCCTGTCTTGGATCTTCTGAATGTGCTCTGCCATTGTCGCGTCTGTACCAATGCCGTTGGCGTCCATTAGCGCAATGAGGTCTGCTTCTGTCAGGTAGCCCGGCGGGCTAGTCTTTCCATCCGTCATCATGGCCTCTGTGGGAACGAATGTTTCTCCCTGGGTATAGTGTGGCAATTCTGCCGAGTCGTTCCACTTCTCGTAGATGAAGACGTCCAAATAGTTGCGCTCCAGGACGCGTAGGCCACGCGCGTGGAATGTCTCCTCGCCGTAGAGGATTTCGATGTCGGTTGCCATACCTTTGGCATCCTCGGAGCAACAGGCAAGAAACCGCCGCACAACATACTCATAGAGCTGCGCCTCTTCCGGCTTCAACACACTCGGAGCAGCATATGTAACTGGATGAATAGGCGGGTGAGCCTTATCGTCGTGTCGGCCCTCGCGCGGTTGGCCGAAGTTTCCATTCAGGAGGCCTTCAGCATATTCACCCCATCGTTGATGTGGCGTCTGCTTTCTGACCAACGCCTTCAGGTCCATGCCTTTATCGAACCGATCCGTCTCTGTTCTGGGGTAGCTGATGAAACCCCTGTTGTAGAGGTTTTCCGCAATAGTCATGGCCTGTTGACCACTCATGCGGAGGAGGCGAGTGGCTGCCTTCTGGAGCTCAACGGTGGTCAAAGGGAGCGGCTTCCATTTCCTCGTTGCCTTCTCCTGGACCTTTGTGACCTTGGCCTCCTTTGCTCTAATGCATCGCTCGTAAAGAATCACGACAGACATGCGATCAAAGAGTCTGTTTCGTGACCAACTGAAGTTGGCTTTCTTCCCTTCGCGATTGTGCATGACTTTGATACTCCAGAACTGCTCAGGCACAAAGTTCTGGACTCGAAAGTACCGATCAACGACGAATCCAAGGGTGGGAAATTGACAAGAGCCTATTTAAGAGTCAGAACGGAAACTTTTCGAGTGTTGGCTGGCCTACCGTAGCTGATGGTTTTCTCCTGCAGCGCGCCCCCGAGAGGCCGGAGGCTGAGGGTCAGGAAACGCGTGAAGGCGTATCCAATCCTGAGGTCTAGTTCTATTCTGGTGTCTACAGCGTCGACTTGCTTCTGGTCTAAATCGGTGAGCCGACGTGCTGCGGATAGGATGTGTCTGTTATTCATCAGCATGGCCCTCCATGGCGAAGAAGAACTGGCGCCTTACGCTCGTTCAATATTGCTGAAGGTGGCACGTTTAACCTGGATATCAGGTTTGCCTTTTCTGGCAGCGTGTACAATCTCCTTACCAATATGCTCTCCCTCACGATCACAATCGGTCCAGATAACAAGTAGTTGGCAGTAACGTGCTTGGCGCTCAATATTCTCGGCGACGGTTTTCTTGTCCTGCGGAAGTCAGTGACTGCCACGTGCTCGATACGATGGGCATAGACGTATCGACACTTACATCCGGCACTAAAGTCACCACTGGAGCGGTAAAGAGGCTTTCCGGGGGAGGATGCTGCCAGCTCTTGTTTGCGGGAGTAAAATCCAGGGCAGTCAGATGGCCCAGAACAGCTGTCATGGTGACATCGCACGCGTTCCATGGCGGGCCAAAGTTGAAGTTGAAGCCGTAGTTCTTTATGTATGTCGAGCGCGTGTTATGCTGTCACGAAGTCAGCCAGTTGATGCAAACGCAAATTCGTCGATGTGCGCTCACAACTGTGGGATTCTGTCCAGCCAAGTGGCCAGCCACGGCCTTGGAGATGGACGGCTTCTCTGCGACGCAAAGAACCTTCATGTTGCTGAACTTTACGGGACGACAAGATCACATGTGTCTGGCGATGTCCAAAGAGACCTGCAGCAACGTCTGAGTTTGTCGGATGAGAAGCAGGTGTCATTGCGGTGAAAGCAGGAGCATGTCGTCGTGATTGCGGTTTTGGGAGACGTTTTCACAGGGCAAGTGCGCTCTCTCCTCCGCGTCCTCAGCAGTGCCCGTATCTAGGCGCTCGGTTTCTATAAAACAGCCCTAGACAAGTACTTCAAGACCTTGATATCACGATACCAAGTTTTGGTTTCCTTATTCATAAAGGTCGCGTCGTTGACGATACCAAGGCTTGACGTGTTGCAAGCTGAGGTGAAGTTTTGTTTTGGAGGTCCAGCTCCTCGCCTAGCTAGTGCCTAGTGCAACCCCACAGCGGGGCTGCCGCGTTCATTGGAGCTCCCCCGGCACTGCGACGCGCCGTGCTTTCAGCTTTGGAGGGGTGACCTGCCCGCTGAATGGCGATGACATTTACGGGATCTAGATAGCCATCTGCAAGGACGAACTAACATGAACCCTCCATTTTGATTCAAGTTGGAAAATATTAAAAATGGGGGCTGGCGCAGATCGATGCTATCTATCCTCACATCAACCTCGATATTCTTTGAATCGTCGTTAAACAAAGAAGCTTGGGCGTCTCTAGACTTAAGCGAACGGAGCATTCGGTGGTCACAATGCCCGAAGACCCCTGCACTTTGGGCGGCACCAGAGCTCTCCCGGCGTCCAAATTATGGATCTATGACGCTCTGTTTGCACCAGCCCCACGGTTACCGCAGACTAAACCACCAAAGCTCTCTGGCGAAAACATCACGACCTGCTGATTCCGACAGTCGCTCTGTGAATTGTCTTTATAATTGAGATCTTTGCCTTTTTACAGGCTTTGTAAACCAAGCATACGACCAGTCGCCGCTGTAATCTGTCTTCGATCCGAAGTAAACAATGGCGCTCCCCTCAATCAGCTCCCTCGAGCATTGCTCCGACTGGGCCAAGGCCGCTGAGCCCTTCATTCCGCAGCTTCTCGATCTCCCGCGCCGAATCGCAGCGAGCCCGCAATCTCTTCCGCAGATCTACCTCGAGACAAACCCGCTCGTCTCCGGCTTCGCGTTCTCGCTCCTAATCGGTTTCCTCGCCCTCGTGGTGTCGGAGTACAACAGGAACTACTCCCAGATCGACCGGCTATGGAGTCTTCTACCTAACTGGTACATCATCCACATGGCCGCGTGGGCGCATTTGAACGGCATTCCCGCACAGAGGCTGATCTTGACTGCTGTTGCGACTACGCTCTGGAGCGTGAGTAGCCCCGTCCGACCCAGGCCTTCGTCCTACGCCAGCTAACCATATGCGCTTCCAGGGTCGACTGACCTTCAACTACTGGCGCAAGGGCGGATACGAACGTGGAAGCGAGGATTACAGATGGGAAATCGTCCGCAAACAAGTCCCGGCCGTCGTCTTCTTCGTCTTCAACGTGACCTTCATCTCATTCATCCAGTCCATCCTCCTCTTCGCCTTCTCTGCCGCGCCGGCCTACTCCCTCCTCCTCGCCAGCCGCGTCGAGCCCGCGATTTCCGCCGCCGACTGGTCCTTCTTCTCCGTTATCGTCGCCCTCGTCCTGAGCGAGTACATCTCCGACGGCCAGCAGTGGGACTACCAGACCGCCAAGCATTCGTACCTCAAGGACAAGAAGGTGCCCCGCGGCTGGGCGCAGGAGGATCTCGACCGTGGTTTCGTGACCGGGGGCTTATGGGCTTACAGCCGCCACCCCAACTTCTTCGCTGAGCAGATGATCTGGTTCGTGCTGTACCAGTGGAGTTGCTACGCGACCAAGGTGCTGTACAGCTATACCTTTGCCGGTTCCGCGTTCTTGATCATGCTGTTCCAGGGATCGACGTGGCTCACGGAGTTGATTACTTCCGGCAAGTACGCCGAGTACAGCGAGTATCAGAAGCAGGTCGGCATGTTCATGCCCACGTCGGTGTTTGGGTACCGTAAGCCGCAGCCCAAGATCATCAAGACCAGCGAATTGGCCAAGAGACAGACAAAGAAGGACAGGTGAACTGGCTGGCGACAGCATCCTGTCCGTAATCTAGAGCGACTTGGGAAATGCTACAAATCGTGTGAACTAGAGTAATGCATCTGTGTATACTTCTAAGGGGGTCCTTCTAGTTCTAGGCGCGCTTCGGAAGTTTCTAGTCTCTATTCCCGTAGAAATAATTCATCACCGCAATGACACGCTCATGCATCGAGGTTCAAGCTCGCAAGACTGTCGACATAGTACGCCGGCACAGCCGCGGCGCCCTCCTTCTCCCAGTCCTCCTTCTTGTGCACGCCGGTCAGCACAGCCAGCGTACCGCCCAGCTTGCCTTCCCTTCCAAACTTGATGTCGGTATCAAGCCGGTCGCCAATCATGCACGTCCGCTCCCGGTTCAGCTGGAACTTGCCCTCGACGGCGTCCATCATGGCCTGCGACGGCTTGCCCAGCGCCAGCGGCTGCTGCTGGCTCATGTTGATCAGCGGGATCGAGATGGAGCCCGCGCCGGGGAAGAAGGTGTGCGACATGGGCAGCGTGCTGTCGGTGTTGGTCGCCAGGAAGACGGCGCCGCGGCGGAGGTACTGGTAGCCGAGCGACAGCTTCAGGTAGTTGATGTGGAAGTCGAGACCGGCGAGGACGACGCCAACCTCGGGGTCCAGCAGCGAGCCGTCGGCGATGCCGGCAAAGTCCTCCGGGCCGATGTCGCGGCGGAGGGCCGGGTCGGTGCCGCCGATGAAGTCGACGCCCTCGGCGCGGAGCTCGGCCTCGATGCCGGCCTCGCCGATGACGAAGACCTTGCGCTTGCCCTCGGGGAGCTGGAGGATGCGGGAGATGTAGACGGCGGAGGAGTAGGCGGAGCCGAAGATGTCCTCGACCTCGGAGGGGATGTCGAGGGCGGCGAACTTCTTGTGGTAGTCCGGGCGGGACTTTGTGGAGTTGTTGGTTACGAAGACGGTTCTCTTGCCTGTTTTTGGACGAAACGAACGTTCACGATGTTAGGGGCACGAGGGTCCGTTTACAAAAGGGGGGGTTGGGTGAGATTGAAGAGGTTACGGAGGGGCGTGAGAGTGAGAAGGGTGGTGAGTAACCTCTTGAGCGCAGAAAGGCGAGGGTCTCGCGGATGCCGTCGAATAGGTGGTCTCCAGACCAGAGGACGCCTTAGGTCGGGTTAGCCTGCTGCCGACCGCACACGAAGACGAGATCGATCATTACCATCGCAGTCTAGCAGGAAAGTCTGTCTCTCGGAAATCTCACGATCAGCCTCTACTCATCACGATGATTTACGAATATGACTCAGCGTCTGGTGGTGGGGGAATGGGAAATCGCGCACGTCAAACTTGTCGAGGAATTCTTGGATGGCGGCGGGGTCGCCGGTCAGGTATTTGGGTGGTTGAGACATCGTGACTTTCGAGCGCCTGGTGTTTTCAACAAAATCGACGGAGCGAATACGACGAGTGCTGGAGTGAGTTTGGAGCAAGGGTGGTTTAGGTATGGCGCTGGATGACGATAAGTGGACGGGAGTGAGAGTGAGGTTGGACGGCCATCGTCCGATTGGTCGATCCGCGGGTCGTGGCTGCCGCCGAGGTACGGGGCGTTGGTGGCAGCATGAGATTATTGAAACCCGGGGAGGAAGAGTGAGACTGAGACGATGCGGTCTCGGAGCTGGGAGGGCCATTGGAATATTTTGGTTCTGAATGTGACGAGCTAGCGTCTGTTTGTTGCACAAGACGGTTACGACGGAATGGTGAAATCTGGGGGAGAAGGTCAGGACGAACAGGCCGTTTGAGGCTTCTTGGATGAGATGAGTAAGGTGGATCTTCAGTTTCCAGCCTCCTTCCCCAGATTCAATGGCATGTCAACGTTGTGAATTCTAACTTGTTGCATGCATTCATCCGAATTACTGCTGAGGCCATGTCGATGATTGCTCAAGGTGCGCATCTCGTAGGAGCGAAACCGGACGTTGAGCTTCATGCGGTTGACCTACATTCCTTCTCACGATGGCCTCCCGACGGAGTGGCACGCGGGGTCCCGGATCATTCAACAACTTACATGCAACTTGAACAGTCCAGAACGGGCAAGGAATGCAGTTTGGCACACTGTTCCCCCCTCAATGTTTCTCCTGGAGCAACTTGTCAAAAAGCTTACACCGCACATTCAGCAAACCTCTTCCGGTCGCAACAGTAAGGATTTCAATGGAATGCGATGCTATGCAGCTCATCCTCCCTACCCGCGGGGGTCACGGCTACGGCCCCACGTCAAGAAGGAATAAGCAAACACAGCCGTCTGCGGAGCTTCCTCAAATGTTTCGTGCATATGCAGCATTTTCAACGGTATCGCCCCAGTGGACTCTGTCGCTGTAGCTTGCATTGGTAATCCGGAGCTATCTGACTCTTGCGGATGCCATCAGTCAGAACTTCCATCGTAAATGACGTCAGAAGGGATTGCTGCATGAGTCGTTCACACAACTGTCGGATGGCAATGACAGTGGGTGGCGGCGCACGGCGCGAGGCAGATGAACGAATTTTCCACGTGCATATTCCTTTCTTATTTGAGATCCGTAAATACGGCCCGACAAGATCGCGACCCATCTGGCTGACGTAGATCTCCTTCAACGAATACTAAGCAAGCGTGGTTGGTCATAGCCATGCCGCCGAAGCACCGAAGGCTCCGTCGAACATTCAGCGGAAGATTGCCGCGCGGGCGGACGGCGGAATAGCGTCGATCAGCGGCTCCGCGACCCTGAAAGAAAGGTCCCTGGAGGGCGCAATGGGTCCAATGAAAACCCATCCCCCCCTTTCGGTGTCAACGGATTTTAGGTGATGGCAACCGAATCCCGCGCTGTTGCTCATGACCTGCGCTGCGGCTCTCCCGTTCGCAACGTGATGGCCGTGCCCCTAGCTCCGGTGGGCGGCGTCACATCTCACCCATCAACATCATGCATCCTTGAAGAAATTTCGACACGGGAGATAAGGATGGTGTGCTGGCTGGCTCTGGCAGGAAAGTTTCTCATGCCGGCGGGCTAGGCGTGCTAAGTCGCCTGCGCAAGGCCGACCGTGGACTGTCTCGTCTCCCCCCCCATGCCGTGACTTCCTGACTGACCTGCCTCACTACCCAACTGAAAATAAGTCAGTCGACCTCGGCGGTGAGGATCAAGCTGTAAAAGACCGCTTCACCGCTTGCGCTCTGTTTCACCGACAGGCAGGCACCCTGGTGGAATGAAGCGTGGGGGGGAGAGACAGGCCGTCGACCATTGCAGGAGGGACTAGATCTCAGGGTCTGGTCCGGGGAAGGAGAAAGCACGGGACACCGACATTGGAATGATCGTGGTCGAGGTGAAGCTGAGCCTTGGTCAACCTGCCTTGAGGCGCACCTACCCATTGTGTCGTTAATTAGACGCTCCTTCCAAAGCAGAGACTAAATCGTCCTAACGGAGTTTGTCCGGTGAATGGCCTTTCACCTCGCCTTTTGATCAAGAATTTTTTTGGTCCTTTCTCCGGTCCGTCCACGAGGGTCGGTACAAAAAAGTTCACCTTTTTGCTCCCACCGTCTTATAAATCCTTCCTCTTCCCTATTCCATCTTTCCTCTCGCCACACCTCGGTCTCTCACGATACGAACCAAAGCGAAAAGCTCGCCATCTCCATTCGCTTTACGAACTTCGTCACGCGCAAGGTTTCTCCGCCAAACAACTACTTAATTTGTTCAATTCACTCCATCGTCACGTCACTTGCTCAATACACCCGACGTACACGAGACTTGACACACCACCACCACCATCACCACGCTCGCACCAAAATAACTCCGCTTGCCTATCAGCACCCGGTCCCCGTCCCTGGCTTCCATTCCAGCTCCCCGTCTTCAGCTCCTACCTTGGTCCCTGTCGTGGCCCCCATCCACCGGCCCAGACTTTCGTTGCCCGCGCTCCCCACCGTCCCAAACGCGACGCCGGCGGACCGTCTCATCTCAATATTGGGACCGAAAAAAACCAGTACTCCACTCGCTCTCGCCCATTAATTAGCAACCATGGCCCCCGTTACCTTCACTCAGGAGCAGCTCCAAAGCTTGCGTTCCCTTCCCGCCCCCGAATACACAATGGCATCCCACAGCGCCCAGCAGACTCCTGCCACGGCTTCCACTGAGCTTTCTCAGACCGACTACTTCGGCCCGTCCTCGCAGAGCTCCTCTACTAACTCTTCGCGCACCTCCGCTGAGATCCAGCGTCCGGCCGTCACCAGCGCTCCCCAGCAGCTCAAGGCCAAGAACCCTCTCCCTCCTCTGTCCCGCGACTTCCCCAAGCCCGCCGAGGACATCAACGTCGCTGAGGCTCTTGCCCGCAAGCCCGGTCGCTGGACCATCCAAGGCGCTGTCGCCGCCGAGAACGCGCGCATCCGTCCCGTCGTTGACGAGGAGAAGGAGAAGGCCAAGCGTCTGCAGGCCCTCGCCGACGCAAAGAAGAACCTCTTCGCCGCCAGCGAGTCTCTCAAGACCATCTCCCTGCCTCCTCGCAAGAACAACTTCTAAGGAAGCCCGCTCCACCCCAACAACGTAAAATCACCAAAAACCAACAAAATCTTGCTTTTGCTTGTTACACTTCAACAATCGGTGCGCGAACGGACCCGCAGCGGTCGTTGAGGTACGATACCCACGGTTAGGTCGGAGAGAAGGATAAGGGAGGATAGGATGAAAAGCGATTGATTCGATGCGTCAGACGGAAGACGTCTCGGGAACTACCAGCGCACGGAAGCGAATTGTCATTGCACCAAACGGCGTTTCATTTGGCAAAGACTTCTGATTCTGTCTGTTCATTTGGTCAAGAAGGGACAAGAATTTTGACGAGAGGGCCACTGCACGATACGGCAGTCTGAACCTGTACATAATGCATTCTGAGCAACCCATACTACCGGGTTTCGATCAGCCTAATACACACAAATCACCTACACTACTGCTACAGTGACAAGCATACACTTAGTTGAGGCGCTTGGCAAGAGAGAAGCCGTAAGCGACGGTCGCAATGAAGCCAGCAAGGTTGACGAGGGTGGAAACACCGTGCAGCTTGCCAAACGACTTGTTAAGGGCAAGCATCTCCTGCGAGTGCGGCGGCTTGTCGTAGCTCTTCTTCCCATCCTTCTTCTCTACACCGGATGTTAGTGACCATCAGATGAAAAAGTGACCACCCCCGCAATGAGAGTAATTACCCTGGGCATATCTAGCTGCCATGACCTTCTGCGCCTTGGGCAGAATCACTACCAAATTCAGCAGACCCGTCACAAACATGGTGGCGATGGGCAGCAACGCGCTGGTCCTGTTGGACTCATGCAGCAGACCGCTGATGCTGCTCTCCTGCACGCCAAACGGGCTGGCGCTGCCGGGGAACGTCACGGCCATGACAGCGGGGAGGGCCGTCTGGATGGTGAAGTAGACGGGGAAGAGGGCGTTCTGAGCGGTTGAGAAGGCGGGCCGCTCGAGGACGCGGAACATTGTGATGCCATTCACAAAGGACTTATTTAGTCAGTAAATCACCAGTCTCAGGGTACATTGAGAAAGTCGTTGGCGACATACGTGGAAGAACGTCGTTCCCAAAAGGGTGCCGTATCTAGCCAAGGGCGTTAGGGATCGATGACGAATGAACTGATGAGACGGAACTCGTCTCATTGGGAGAAGTCGTTCTTACGAGATGATGTGGTACGGCGCCGCCGAGAAGAGAATTGAGTCGGGCATCTTGGGCGATGTTGGAGAGCTTTCTACTTGTTATGTTTTGAAGGTCTAGCGATGTTATTCGCATTGGAGAGTTGAGGTTGGAGGATGAGGTTGCGGCGGCGAATGGTAGCAGACCGACGGTGCCATCTGGAACGAGCCGCCGCCCAGTGAGGAGACAGGGGTTTGCAATGTATGAGGTCACTCTCGGCATGGGACTGCCACAGAGCGCCATGCCTGCGCTGCGCTACAGTGCTTGAACCTTACTCAGTAGGCGACATGCATAACGTCTATACACCTTATTGCTTCACTCATTAGTCCAATTCGAGAGTATTTTCGATGCCACAATATGATAGGCACTCAAGTAATGCGACGTGCTGGGGGAAGCTGCAGGGGCCAGAGGAATACTCGCTAGCACTTCCCTTATCGTTATCATCACGTGATCGCGTGCAGAGCCAAGCGCATCCAAACGCGCTGGGGCGCGCAGCAGCCTGGAGCTCAGGATGGACCTCCTCTGCCTAAAGTGAACCAGGGTCCAGAACCGACGTCCCATCCGTCGCAACGCCATTCATTAATACCCGTTTCCGCTTTGCTCTTCAGTTCTTCACTTCCTGACTTGTTTGCAATTGCTCGTCTCTAATGTTTGATTTCTGAAATAACGTCACCCCTTTCTCAAAAAACCACCCAAAATGGCGGACAAGGAGGCTTCCGTGTACATCATCGATGTTGGCAACTCGATGGCCGACTGCCACAACGGCCGCACGGAGTCAGATCTTGACTGGAGCATGCGCTATGTCTGGGACAAGATCTCCACCACCGTCGCCGCGTCGCGCAAGACCTGGACCGTTGGCGTGGTCGGTCTCAAGACGGATGACACTCGCAATGCCATGCAGGACGACGAGGGCTACGAAAGCATCTCCGTGTTGCAAGAACTCGGGCCAATGACTTTGACGTCCATGAGAGAGCTCAAGGAGGAGATCAAGCCGAGTGGCACGGAAACGGGCGATGCGGTTTCCGCGGTGGTCATTGCAGTCGACATGATCCAGACGTTCACCAAGAAGCTTAAGTACAAGCGCCGGGTGTACCTCATCACGGACGGTCTAGGGCCAATTGATGCGGACGACGTCGATGATATTGCCAAGAAGATCAACTCTGACGGGATTGAGTTGATTGTCTTGTGAGTGCCATGATCACCATTCGGCAGCATCAACTAACACGAGCAGGGGTGTGGATTTTGACGATGCTGAGTACGGCTTCAAGGAGGAGGACAAGCCCTCAATCAAGGTATGCCGGCGGACTTTACTAAGCCTGGAAAGTCACTTACACACTACAGAAACAAAACGAGGAAGTCCTGAAAGACCTTGCCTCGAAATGCGACAATGGTCAATTTGCAACCATAGCAGAGGCAATCGACGAGCTCGACACCCCTCGACTCAAGGCCGTTCGTCCCTACAAGACGTACGACGCTCCCCTGACCCTCGGCCACGCCGACCCGCCACCAGAGCTCAAGATCCCTCCTACGCCCGTCATCATCACCGTCGAGCGCTACTTCAAGACCAAGCTTGCCAAGGCACCAGGCTCCTCCACGGTTGTCGTGTCAGCTGATCCTTCGTCGCAATCGACGCACACCATGGACGCCGAGCCCATGGAAGGTGTCGAGTCGACAGCTGGCTTTGCTGCTGTGAAGTCTGCGAGGACATATAAGGTCAATGATCCTGATGCACCTGGTGGAAAGCGGGATGTCGAGTTTGAGGCGTTGGCGAAGGGGTACGAGTACGGCCGGACTGCAGTGGCGATTAGCGAGTCTGAGTGGAATGTCACCAAGCTCGAGACTATCAAGACGTTCACCATCATTGGCTTTATTCCGAGCGAAAAGGTATTTCCTTTCCTCCCTTGGTCAAACATGGTGCTTACAACATCTAGTACGAACCGTTCCTCAACATGGGCGAGACCTGCGTAACAGTCGGCCGCAAGTTTGACGAGAAATCCCAACTGGCCCTCTCTTCCCTGATTCACGCCCTTTACGAGTTAGAATCTTATGCCGTCGCTCGCCTCGTTATCAAAGAGAAGAAAGATCCCCTTCTCGTACTCCTTGCGCCTCGCATCGAGCCCGATATGGAGTGCCTCTACGATATCCCTCTCCCATTTGCGGAGGACGTTCGCGGCTACCAGTTCCCACCCCTCGACCAGGTCATTACCGTCAGCGGGCAAAAGATCACCATAAATCATCGTTTGCTCCCTAGCGATGAGCTAACTGATGCGATGAGTGATTACGTTGACTCGATGGACTTGGGCACTTTTGGCAACGATGATGAGGGGTAGGTCCCCTTCTTCACAACTCAGTGATATCACTAACACCCCCCCAGAAACCCTTCCGAATATGCCGCAATCGACGACACATACAACCCCATAATTCACCGCCTGAACCAAGCCATCCGCCAACGAGCCGTCGATCCAGAAGGCAAAATCAACCCCGTCCCACCAGTCCTCGTCCGCTACGCCGCACCCCCTGAAGACCTTGTCCAAAAGTCCGCATCATCAATCGAAGCCCTCATCACCGCGGCAGACGTCAAGAAAGTGCCTCCCAAAGCAAAGGGCAAGCGCAATCGCGAGACGATCAAGCCCCTTTCCGGCCTCGACGTCGACGCCCTCCTCGGCACCGCGCCTAAACGCGCCAAGATCTCCCCAGAGAACGCCATCCCAGAGTTCAAGCAGGCCCTCGATACTGCCGAGGACATTGCGCAGATCAAGCACGCCGCGGCGCAGATGGGCTCCATTGTGCGCTCGCTCGTCACGGACAGCTTCGGGTATGCCAACTATGCTCGCGCGGCGGAGAATTTGGGTGTGCTGAGGGAGGGCTTGATTGACATGGAGGAGCCGGGTATCTACAATGACTTTATGAGGGACCTCAAGAAGAAGATGCTCTCTGGAGAGTTGGGCGGTGATCGGAGAGAGATGTGGTGGAAGATTCGGACGTCGAGGCTGGGATTGATCGACCAGTCTGCGTCTGAAGTGTCGAAAGTGACGAGCGACGAGGCTGACGAGTTTTTGAAGTCAAAATAAGGCAAGGGGCCAAGCGGGCGTTGGGTTCTGTAATGATCAAGTTGATTCTGTAGATTCTTATCGAATCTGTGCTACCGTTTATGAACCGGGCTATCTGTGTCCATGTTCTCAAGCTTTCCGCCAGTCAAATGACTCGGTTTCTCTCACCAATCCAAGCTTCCATGCATCGCAAACGAAAAGAAAGAAAGAAGAAATCTAAACCAGGGCATATCTCACAACTCAAGAAACGACAACCTTCTTCTCCGCCGCGGCCTGCTCGTCTGTCTTGGCCCGGACGGCGAGGCCGAGCATGGCGCGCAGAGTGTACGCGGCATCGTTGCCGGCGTTGTGCAGGTTCTTGGATGGTATATCGAGGTCCTGCAGCACGAAGATCAGGCTGCGGCCCTGGGTCTCCTCCCGCCAGGCCTGGTGCATGTCCTTGGTGTCGAGGCAGCGGATCATGCCGGGGACGGACCAAGGGTGGACGTCCATGCCGGTCATGAATGTGAGGTCGGAGCTCAGGCCGTGGCCGACGAGGACGATGTTACGGGGCGGTTTGTCCTTGTCAGTGCCGGAGAGTTCGGCGAAGGCGTTGAGAATCTCGTCTCGCAGGTCTTTGCGCTTGGGATACTCGCTCTCACTGTGGTCCTGGTTAGTAGGTATGACGGAGTAAAGGGGGCTCGCGGGAGACCTACCCGAAATCGAAGAGATCAGGGCAACCCTTGATGTACTTCTTGTTGACAATGTGCTTGTAGTCCTCCGTGATGAGGTGGCGGCTCTTGATGTAGGGGAACCAGTCGCGACCGACCTCGCCGGGCGGAACGCCCACGATGTCGCGAGTGTCGAGGGTTGCCATGCCGACCTCCAGGACGGTCCCATGGTGCTCCTCAGCGACCTCTATGTCGATGCACATGAAGACAACATCCTTGTCCAGGACATGGGGAACCGCCTCGTCGACCTTTACCTTTTTGTCCTTGCCCTCGGTAACGCTGGGCAGGGGTCGGATGCCGAGGTACAGCTGGGCGTCGTAGATGTTCTCCTCCCGACTCTGTGTCTTCTCCTGCTTCCTCTTCTTGCTCTTGCTCTTGGGCTGATCCTCCTTGGCATGGGCGCTGAGGTTGGCCAGGAGGAACTCCATTCCATGTACGGTCGCTTCCTTGCAAGCGTCCTCATCCTCAGGGGCCGGAATCGCATTCTGGAGGGCCTTATACTCGTTGTGCGAGGAAGAGCGACCGATGTACTTGGGGCGGATGGTGCAAGAGGAGCCGAAGGTGAGGTAGAACTTCTCGCTTGGCTTGCCGGGGGGGATGGTCAGCTTCGTCTGGACCGAGGCGTTGATAATGTCGAGGAAGTGGTCGAATTGCTCGGTGGGGATGAAGATGAAAGGGGCTTGGTCGAGTGCCTTTGGGTGGTACACGTAGAAGCTGGGGTTGTTAGTCTTTCGTTCTCGGGGAAGGGTCTCCTGAGGGTGACTTACAAGTCCCAAGTGTGTTCTTCAGTCATGTTCTTGAAGAAGGGGGTGCACTGATAAAGTTAGCGGACTAAACCTTGCCTTGCAGGAATATAGGGAAGGAGCACTCACCTTTGGCCTGTTGGTCTTGCCAATGTAGCTCGAAGGGTACCGCTTTACGAGATCCCAAGCGACGAACTTGGTGTTCTCCTCCGACCATTCACCCGGCTTCATGGTTTCGTACTTGGGGAAGGTCTTTGTCATCAGCCTGTTGTACTCTTCAGTGGATAGCTTCTCGGAGGATGATGGAATGTAGACGGGTCTCGTGTGGTCCGTCTGTTGGCCCTGCGTTCTGGGGTCCTTGCCTGCCTTGGCGGCCTTGAGAGCAGCGGTCTGGCGGTCGAGGGCGAGGGTATCGAGAATGATCTTCTCAATGACCTCGGATTTGCTGGGGTAGGTGCGGTTCTCGAAGCGGAATCCTTCGCCGAGCAGCTCCTGCATGCGCTCAGCGAGCTGGTCGGAGGTTAGGTTGCAGTCTTCGATGGGTTCATCGGTGACGAAGACGTCTTGCGTCTTGAGGTCAGTTTGTGTGGTAGCCATGGTGGAATGAAGTCCAGAAGTTGTGATGTATGGGGGATAGGTCGCCAAAATATCAGAACTGGAAGGATCTTACAGAAGAAGGATGGAGGAGTTTAGGCAAGAGTCAATGTGAATGTGAATGTGCAACTGGTTTGTGTTGTAGTGTGGGAGAGGAAGAGAGTGGATGGTGTCGAGGGTCAAGAAGAGGCTTTTTATGGGTGACCGTGGAAGAAGCAGGTGAGGATGTGAGCTTGGTTGCTAATTTGAAGATATCGTGGAAGGAGGTGGGTGGGAGTTCCTTCCTGGAGGTGTAAAACAGAGAACATTTGAGGTTTTGAATTCAAATTGCTTCTCGAGTTGAATGTGAGTTGCGAAAGCACTTCGGTCGGTCAGCTGAATCAAACAAGCTATCGTTGAACTAGTAGAGAAGGTGAGAGGAAGTGGGGAGTACTCCTCGATCCGTCGATGAAGCTGGGCTCTCTCTGGCGAGATCAGACTAAAGACGCACTGTTATAGAAAGAATTACAACCGAATGTTGTAAATCGGGTGTATGTTTGTATATCTGTTTGCGGCAAGCATATGGCGGCTGGGGACCATACTCGTTTGATCCTGGGCTGAAGCAATCAATGCCACAAGCAATATCTACTATGCAAAGTTGGGATACACAGTTTGTCCATCAACTGCATACTGGCATTGGGTGAGGCTTGGGTCGAACAGGTCCCATTTGATGATGGCTTCCAGGACATATCAGGAATTGTCCCAATGGTAATTCCTCAGCAGAAAAGTGGCTGGTCCCTGAATTGACAAAGACCGAAACCCACGCTTGTTAAATAGGAAGATGTGCCTGAAAAGTCTGAGGAGTCCACAGGATGTCTTCTCACACATCAATTGATGTTCTTCGTTACGATGCAAGTGATTCAGCCTTCGTTAGGAGACTAACTGCAGCAGGATCATGTACAGGAAGCTCTCATTTTGCTGTACTTGCGGCATTTGCTCCGATCTCTGCCTTTGTCTCTGGTCATTCTCCATGAATGTTGTTCGACTTGGGTTCCTGATGACTGGGGCTCCATTCCGTTTGCCAAATGAGACATACAGCTCCTGAAGCTGAGGAACCCTATTCAGTCTCACTCCAAGACCACGAGGGTTTGAAGATGGGATCCTCACAAGAACCTTCAAAACTCAAGCAAGATTTGCACCTTAGAAAAACCAAGCCAACAACCGGGACAAGTGTAAAGTAGTAGAGAAGAGAGACGATTTGGCCTCCTGCCATTAAATATCTGGTCCAACAGTTAATCCCCCTTTCTAATCCGCAAAGGCCAGCCCAAAAGCCGAGTCTCCATTTTTCAATAAACCCTCGGGTCCATCCTTAAAACGCCGCCGCTATGAAGAACGACTAGTCTGTTATACATTCCACCGCCAGCAGAGCCTTCTGCCACACATAATCATTGTCGGGTTCGTCGTCGTCCATGTTATACACGTCACCACCGCCGGTATCCCCTCACGGGGCAGTCTCAAGACGTTGTCTTCTCAAGCAACTCCTTCGCCTCGTTCACCTTGGTCGCAAGGTACGGGCTTCCGCCACGGTCGGGGTGGTTGAGCAGCATCAGGGTGCGGTGCTGCTTGCGGATCTTGTCGCGGGTGACGCCGGACTCCCTGCAAGTGACATTCAGTCAGCCTTCCCCGAATCTTGGACGAACTTGCTGTAGGATCGAACTTACGACAGAGAGAGGACAAGGCAGGCCTCGCGCTTGTTCATCTTGGGCTCGAATCCGCCCTTGTAGAAAGCCTTGCCCATCGCGCCCACGCCGCCGCGAGATCGGCGCCATGCGACAAGTCCAGCTCGGCCCTGCACGCAGAATTGTTAGTTGCCTGCAACTGATGAGAAGGTCCACACAAGCAGAGAAGCGTACCAGGAAGGCCGCGACAGCAGCGCCGGTTCCGATAGCGAGAACAGAAGCCATGGTTGAGTATATACGTGTGGTGATGGTACAGGGTGCGGGCAAAAGCGGATCGCGGAAGAAGATGCTGGATGAGGTGGGAGCTTTTTTTTCCCTCCAAAGTTCGCCGTCCACCAAGCCCGTGATGCGCCGGAGATGGCCCGTGCACTTTGTTCAGTCAAGTCAGGGCGAGTCGGTCTTTGATCGGAAAGTCGGTTGTTCCGTGTCTCTTTTTTTCTTCTTGTCCTTGAGGTGCTGGAGGTCGGGATGCACGCTAATCTTATCGCATAGTTCGCCCCACCATCCAATCGATAAGGCCGGGCCAAAAAATTTCTAAAAAACTTCCTGAAGATTTGGAGATCCCCAAGGCCATTTCGATCACCGCCTTCCGCTGAACGAGAGGAAGCGTCAACATCCTACCCACCCAAACCTCCTCCCCTCCCTTTTTCCGACAGATTCGAGCCTGTGATACCCGGTGAGGTATCTACGTCCTCACAATGAGGTACGTTTGCATCATTCCTGTCTTTCTTGCAAGAGAGAAAGGCTGGTATCATCAAAGTTTCAAGCTACTAACAATGCTCCCAGAATCGAAACCTGCTACTTTTGCAGTCGCCCTGCATACCCCAGCAAGGGCATCACCTTCGTCCGCAACGATGCCAAGGTCTTCCGCTTCTGCCGCAGCAAGTGCCACAAGAACGTACGTCTCTAAGCCGCCCGACCTTTGCCCCTCGAAAACCTCGAAGCGGAAGCAATACAGGAAGCCACACAGGAGACAACCAGCTAACCCGAACCGCCTCACCAACAGTTCAAGATGAAGCGCAACCCCCGCAAGCTCAAGTGGACAAAGGCGTACCGCGCCTCGGCGCACAAGGAGATGACGGTCGACAGCACGCTGCAGTTCGGCGCGCGCCGCAACGTACCCGTCCGCTACGACCGCGACCTCATGGCCAAGACGCTCAAGGCCATGGAGCGTGTCTCCGAGATCCGCGCCCGCCGCGAGCGCGTCTTCTACAAGAAGCGCATGCAGGGCAAGCGCGAGCGCGAGATCGCCGCCGCCCGCAAGCTCGTCGCCGAGAACGAGCACCTCCTCCCCCGCCTGCGCGGCTCCGAGAAGAAGCGCCTCGCCGCCGAGGGCGCCACCGAGGAGGAGATCGCCGCCATCGAGGCCGAGGGCCGCGTGCTGTCCAAGAACAGGGCCGGCAAGGTGTTCGGAAAGGAGAAGGTCAGGCAGCGCGTCACCGTCGACGGAGACGTCGTCGAGGAGAGGGAGGGCGTCATGCAGGAGGGCGACGAGGAGTGGGATGACGAGGAGGGCGACGATGACGAGGAGGGCGACGATGTTGAGATGGAGGATTAAGCGGGCTGGGAGAAAGAGAAAAATGAGCGAGACAAAGACAAAAAATGCTAATCGAGGAACCCCTATTTCCCTCTTCTCCTCGACGAGGAGGGTAGGGGTTGACTTTCTGGGTTTCTGGCGTTCAGGTATACAAGGCGGTATAGCATCGACGGCGTTGGTGGCTCTGAGGAATACCAAGAAGAAAAGTTTTCCGGGTCAGAACGGTTCATCATTCTCAGTCGCCGCCTTTGCTTTCCGTCTTCTGATGCCAGTCATCGTGGCAGCCTGCGCAACTGTAGATGCTGCATGCGCATGATGGCTTCATGTTTTGCCAAGGGCCAGCGGGCGCGTTGTCTAAGCTGTCCCGAGGATTGGCAGCCGGTTCACAGCATGGGTGCCTTTTCCAAGGCCAGGGAACATAGATTTCCAAATGCGAAAAGTCCACATCTACTACCGTCAATGTCATCCAAGCCGAAGTGGAAGTGATGCGCCCAAAGCGAGCGTCGCGGGTATCAATACTGTAGATGTTGTACAAAGGTTTCCCCCCCAAACTCCAAGCCGCAGGCCTTCTACGACCGAGAGCCCTGCTTCATAAACGACGCCCCATAAACTCTGACTCCTTCAGCAGCCGATTCACGCGACCTCCTTGCTCTCCTTTGTGGATTGATGATAATACGTCTTGGGCGGCATAGGAAGCCCCGCCTCGACATCCTCGATGATCTTCTTCTCCAGCGCCTCTTTGCGCTTGATCTCGTCCTCGGCCGTCTCGCTCCCGGGCACCGTCGAGTCACCGTAGTTGCCCGCGCCGCCCCGCCCGGTGGCGCCCCTTGCGGACCGCGCCAAGCTGGCGTTCACCGCCGCTTGTGTCTTGCCCGCGGCCTCCTCTTGCTGTTTGGTATCCGGCAGCGAAGAGTGATCATAAAAGTTGCCCGCCCCACCACGGCCGGCGCGGGCGTAGGCTGATCCGTTAGAGGACGATGTCGGACTGGTGGTGGTGGCGGCAGCAGCAGCGTCCTTCTGAGCCTCGACGTCCTGTTAAAGGCATCTCGTGAGCCAATGTCTTCTTTCGAACATGCTTGCAGTCGTTGTGGCAATTTGAAGTTGCACAACATTGATCTAGAAGCTTTGCATACCTCTGGCTTGGCCTTTTCAACGTCCTCGACGTCCTTTTTCGAGTAAAAATTGCCTGCCCCGCCTCGGCCGACCTTTCGGAATACGTCAGACATGACGATGGTCAGTGGGTATCTTGTGTCTAATTAAATCTGGCTCTGAACGTCTGACGCCTGCGCGATGTACGGAGAAAAGAAACGCGATTCGAAAGATATGGCCACGCAGGCAGGCAAATCTATTGAATTGCCAGTCAATGAGTTAGGCAGGCGATATCTCTGATAAGGGCTGCTGGCTGCGGCGATGAGTGACGTGCGGTTTTGTTGTAAATGAAAGTCATTAGCGGGTTCACCCCTTGGCAGGTGTGGCGCCGCGGGGTTAATCAAAGCTGAGTGGGAGGCCCCGACCACGTTATCGGTGTCCGCAGCCGGTTCTATTTTTCGGCTTGCTCTTTTTTCAGTCAGAAACATTCCTTCGTCAATGAAGACATTCCATTGCCTCCTCTGGTTGCCGCGCGCCGACCGGTTGCCCGAGATCTGTTGGACGAACTGTGCTTTTTTAAGGACGTCCTGGCTATTCTCGAAGGGGAAGATGCATGCGGTTCATTGGACGAGGTTAATGTGACGCAGCATTCGCCTGTCGATCGCCGCGTTCGAGCATCCCTCAGTGAGCCTTCATCCTGGGCCTCCCACGTTCGGACAGGAGCCTCGAATTCTGTTCGGATTCGGGCATATTTGAAGGGAGATCGACAGGTACATCGACAAGGCCCCTTGAGATAGAAAAATGAAGACCGACGTCGTTGCTCAACATTGCTCGTCGACCGCACCGAGAGGGAGGCGATTGAAGACCATCATATCAGGTACCCGCGCGGCGCCGCCCTTCCCCGAGGCCCGCGGGGGGGTAACTTTCCCTTTGCATCTCACGATGTGATCCAGAAATAATCCAGGGGTCCAACCCCCTCGATGAAGGAGGAGCGGAACGCACGGGAGCGCCAGCACCCAAACCTTCTCTTCATCCCCGATGAACCTTCCGCAGAATACGGTGTGTGCTCCTGGGGCAAAGGGCAGCTGCTCAAAGATCAAGGAAACGGAGTATGCTTCCACGTGGATTGCTTTGGTGACGCAGGTACGCCGAGAGCAAGCTGTGAGAAGCAATAGTTTGAGCCACAAGGGGGAGGTCAACGACGAGTTTCGCAATGATAACGAGCACAGTTTGGAGAGTACCTCGGGGTACGGCTGGGTACCTGACATGTACCCACTCATTGACAGGGCTCTTGATAGCGACACGCATCTTGCGGAGCCTGGAGGGGTGATGTGCAGCTGCCGCGAGAGGGGCTGGCTAGACGTGCTGATCGCCCTAGCCACTTTTCGAACTCTCGTCCGCTTGTATCTCCGCCGTTTCCTGCTCTCGTCAATTTGACGCGGGGATGGCAGCGCGCAATGATAACTACGGCCGGACCGGGATGGAGAGGTGACGGCTGACTCTGCGATAATCGTCCCGATGCCGGTCGAAGAGAAGGGAAAAGAGAAAATCCCATACTCACGTAAGACGAGGCGCAGCTAGCCCTCTCCCGTGCTCGGTCCCATGACTACGAGGAAACAGGCATCTTCCTGATCCATGTCTCGTTTCCTGTAAGACGCGACTTCGGCCGTGAAGCTGTCACTTCAGTGGGAAACCTTATCTCCTGGACAAGCAGGGTTGAGTCTCTGAAGACCGTACACTATCCGTACCGGCACAAACGGTTTGTGCAGTCATTGTGCGCGACTGAAAGATCGGCGGGGATTCCTGCCTTGATTGGAGAGCTCATGCATGGTGATTCCAGCTTCGGGATGGCATGGCACTGTTCAGAGAGTGAGGGGTGCAGCTGCACGCCTACAGGGCATGACCCTGACGTTCGTGTCTCATGGAGTTGCCCTACAGAACCACACTGCTGAAGTTTTGTGAGCAATCGTCGATTCGGCCCAGGAATTTCCCCTTCATCCGCGCGGCGGACTGGGTCCTCCCTGTTTTACAGCGCCGACAAATGGGGATAGAGTTGACGATCGACATCGAGTCGGCCATTCTGCTGTGGAGTATGCGATTGTTGGGCGACTTGGGGCGTTGCCCTTAGTGCGTTTTTTATTCTGCCCGAGCCAACTTTTTGAAAACTTTCGGACAGGTTGTCGGAGTGCAAACCGATGGGTCTGCGTGCCATGATTTGTTGAATGCGTGTGAAGGGAAGGGATTGAAGTAATGCTTGTCCAACTCGTCGGAACAGCTGTCGATCCTGAACATGGATGCCGACTTGCAAGCTGTGGCAGCGCCAATCCGCTTCTTGCGTGGATCAGACATTGGTGATGTTGATTCCCATATGCAACTTTGAACAACTGTTCTCTCGGCTGCCCCCGATGCCGTCTGCCCCGTCCACGTAAGACAAGTCCTTGCAACTTAATATCAAAGTCCTTGTTCAGGGCGTGTCGAGTCGCGGTTGAGCCGCTTGTGAGACCTTGACCGCTTTGCTGGGGCTCAATAGCAAGTCAAGTCCCTTAACCAGACCGATAAGATCCTAGTGAATCTCGGGCGTCTGACCAAACCAATACGTTTTCTGCGAGAAGGTCATCTGTCGGTGACATAGCGTCGATTTAAGAGTTAAGGCGTTGTACTAAGATGCGTGCCCTTTTCTCCTGGAATCAAAGAGGACTGACTAGTTGCCATCATCCCTTGGTATAAAGTTGCCGCCCGGTGAAGGTGTTTCTAAGTGCAAGGCAGAGTACTTATACATTACCCAAAAGATTGACAAAAACGGTCACGAGTATTGATTAGTCGCAAGTAGTCAAGTTGGCGTCAAGCCATAGAGAGCCGCAGAGCAATAGACGTTAGAGCATAGTTTTCTCTCGTCCAACTGCTGGACGTCAGGCAGAATGACTCCATTACAAGCCACCAGAAGACTTCATTCGACGTTGAGGACACATTCAAGCCCGAACAACGGGACACGCCGAAGATGTCTTGGATGCATTCAAAGCGTCAGTTTTGGCAACTGAAACTCCGATCAACCCAGCCTGGACTTGGACGGTTGCGCCCAGTGACGCACTGGTTGCATGCCAGGTGCATTGAGAAGGCGAAAAGCTTTCAAGACTCAAGCAAAACATGCCCTCACTCTTCGTTGCCAACTTGCAGTGTGGTGTGGCGTGTCCATGTCCGGTCCGGTTACTGGCGGGCCGGCCGGTGCTGGAAGGAATTCTTCGCTGACGATCTTCCCATTGCCCTGTGAAATTCCTGCCCGCTGTTTAGATATTACACCACACCTGAAAAGCGCAGATACCGGGGAAGTAGTGTCAAGTGGCGAACGTGGTCCATTCTGACCGGTGAGGCGGCGGCGGGCAGAGACAACTTCAGCGACGGATTGCATCGGAGAGAGCACAATGACCGACGGGAGGAGCGGCGTGCCGCCAGTGCCACGAAAGCCCACCCGACTTGCCCAGAGCAGCAGGCCGCATGGTGCCCGATGGAAGGGAGATGGGAGCAGCTGACCGTCCCGAATGGCTCTGGCGGCGCTCTAGTACGGGAATGACGAGACGGGAGCGAGACGGCCCTTGGGATAGAGCGTTTCCCCGGGACTGCGGGATCCGTAATGCGTGCCGCGGTAAAGACCTCAGAAGAGAGTTCTCTGGGATCAGCGGATTCATGGCCAGCAAGGACACGAATGAGGCGACTGTGGTCTGCGGGAGTCGTGCGCTTGACGAATTCGAGGCAATTAGCAGGTAGGGACAGGCGAGGTAACGTAGCCGAGCATAAAGATTCGCCATCGCATGGCATCGCATCGTATGCATCAGAAAGTGCGTACATATACATACGACGACGGGGGCGGCGGCGTTGACTGACGCGCCAGCCAGCACAGCAGCGTCAGAAAGCCCCAAGCTCGGGCAGCCTCTTCATCGGATTCGCTCCTGGCCGCCCCAACGGCAACCAACAAGCTGGATAACTTCAGGCAGACCGTCCCAGCGGGTGAGTCCTGTGATTTGTGGTCACCGGGAGGGGCCTGCATTGGACCAGAACGTCTTGGTGGTTGGAGGTGGTGGTGGTGAGGAGGGATTAGGTGTGGCAGCCCCAGGCGGAAAGGTCGCCAAGTGCAGAGCCCGCCCGGCCATCCTCTTGGGGGCACGATTAGCACATCGTCGCTGGGGGTTTGGCTGGACTGCGATGCCCTTACCTAAGGCAGGATGGGGGACGAGCTGGGCAAGGAGTGGGATTTGAAAGACAACCTGAAGTGAAGTGACAAGGAAGAGGGGAAGAGATAGAGGAGGGGCGTGTGGGTGGTGTGGTGGCAGTAGGTACGGATAGTCAGTAATACCCTACCAATTGGCCAGTGGTTCTCTCTCCATCGTCGCAGTTGCTGTCGCACTCTGCAATTCAACTGTGTACCGCATTTTTTTTTTATCTGAACTTTTTTTTTCTTTCCTCGACAAGAGGCATTTCTTTCCCTTTGCTTTCCACCGTGCTTTCCGCTCAACATGGATTTGAGACCTGGTCCGTGTTTGTACAGTCAGAAGCAACTACGTCACTGCCTCTCTCAATACGGACGGACTTTCCCCAGGTATCCGTACACTGTCCCCACTGTGCGGTCGCAAGAGCGCTGTCAGCCATCGCCACACAGTGTACAGTCACCGCGCCTCCGACTCAACACTGTAGTCTGCACTGGGGGCGTGATTGTAGCACTGATGGGCATGTGGTTTCTCTGAGGAGGGCAGGGCGAGGTATCTTTCTGCATCTTAACCAATGGCTCTGCACTGTGCAAGAACTGGTTCCTGCTTCTCCAGCAGCATAATTTTAGTGCGAGCACCTAGGTACCCAGAGCGAGCTTCCCCAATGCTGATCAGCCCAACAGCGCCGTCGAAGAACTGTCTCTAGCTTGGCTCCCGTGTGATCAACGATCAACAGAACCGTCGGGGAATTTTGTTTTCTTTATTGTTTCTTTTGGTGTTCTCTGCGGCCTGCTGAGATCTCCGGTTCTTACCACCACTCAATTGATTGGCAGGAGGTGATGGAGAAGTGGAAGCCAGAGAACATGTACGTTGACAGCAACAGAAACCAACTCAGGAAAAGAGCTCTCTGTCTCAATGTCTACCCGAGCCGATGTCAA